AACTTCCAAGTCAGGGTGATGGTACTAGGTCAGTATGTGTCAGCTTTTTCTATGACCTTTTAGATTTTTTCCTTATTTGCCGTGGTTTTCCATATTAACAAATACGAAAGCTGATTAAAATTGACGCATTCAACAATATTTTGATTGACGCTGAATTGAATGCATGGCAGGCAACCAAAGAAGTAATAGAAGGCTTGTTGGGAAAGCATCGTTCCAACAACAACGATGTTACTGTCGCACGCATGTTAAGAGCACTCTCGAAAAAACATCAAGATAAGGGAAAACAATCCCAAAAGTTATCGACAGTGTGATCAGCGAAATGGAAGTTCATGGGTATGAACTGTTGAATGGCATGAGTTTAATTTGTCTATTGAAGATCACGCAAACTTTAACTAGGTCTTGATGAAAGCTTTCTAAAATATTGATATGCTAAGTTATGATGTTATGAAATAGGAAGCGGAGACAATGAAGGAAGTGAACACCAAAAAAGTTGTTACCGAAGAGAATATTAAGAAAACCAAAAAAAAAATTTTTTTTATGAAAGTAAAGTAATTATCTTCGAGAAAGCAGGCATCATAATAATATCAACTGAATGTGTATTACTTTGTAAGACTTTGTTCATAGCTTTAAAAATTTTTAGTGAATTCTTAAAAATCTATGGCGTCGCTAGATCGCAATACATTTGTGTCAACGTTTTTTCCTACCCTCCAAACCATCAACTCTCAGAATAAACTTCAATGCGCGTAGCGATTCACTTTTAATGTCGTCAATTCACTTAAAAAAGTTTCCCTGAAGCGAGGATCGTTTCGGTTTGCTGAATAGCCAGAAGTCACACGGAGCTAAATCAAGCGAATAACGTGGTTGCGACATGATTTGGTTGAAAATTTGGCTAAAAACTCACTAAGAATCAATGCAGTATGTGACGGTCTTACTTTTTCTTTCGTCTTTTTCCGGATCGTTAGCATAGATCTAAGGGTCGTCACTAGTAATAATACATTTTATGACATCCCGGTAGTCGGAAAGTATTTTTTCACAGAGGTTAGCGTGACGCTGTTTTTCGAAAACAATTTAGTGATTTTAGAACTAATCGCGATTTCACTCTTCAAAAATGTGTACACATCGAAAACACAAAAACACTGAACAAATGGTTGCGAGAAGCTATGTTGAATTAATAAAAAATGAAATTTTCAATTGACATGTTACCCTTAAAAAATTGGAATAGATAAGCTTGCAAAACATCGCTTCAATCTCCGTACATATTGTGCAAATCGGACCACTATAGCATATAGCTATCGTGTAAACTGTCCGATTAAAAAAGTTCTTTACATTGCCGAAACTCTGTGATTGGCTCTATAGATTCAGTGAAGCCGAAGTTAAAGATTTTTCATATTTATCTAGTCATTACCGAAATATTCTGCCCTCGAGTTTTGGTAGTTTTATTTAAATTATCAGAAATGTTTACAAATAATGTAAATATATTTTTCTGGTTCCACAAAGTTTTAGACTAGTTCATTCCCGTATTCCCGCGCTTATATTCGAATTAAAAAGTATTATGTTTTTGTATTTTAGAGCAAATTTGTTAAATAAAATATTTTTTGGCTCCACATTCGAAGCATTGTAAGAACTGCGAACAATTCATGAAACAAAAACAATTTTTGCTAACAATGAATTAATATTTATTAAGTGAAACTCACAGTCCACCGCGCTCAAGCAACGGAAAAATTCGATTTGTGACCAATAAAATGCACAAAGCCATTGAGCAACTTGCAACGGGCTATGAATTGAATGCTTGTTTGCATGTGTTTGTGTATTTTTGTTTATATGCATGTGCGTTTCAGTATTGAGCGGTGAGCCCTAAGGAGCTTTCACTTCCCCAAACGAACTCGAGTTACTGCGAATGTGTGTGTGTATGCAGTGTGTAAGGTAGTCATTGTGTGCGCATAGCGGCAACCAGGCGTTTAAGCGTGAACATTTCACTTTTCATACGCTTTCTGTTTGTTTTTTCCGCCATGAAAGCTGTGAGTAGTTATGGCCAATTTTGTTTTTGTGGCACCACCATTCCTTGCCCCTGTCAAATCAACCAACTGGTACTTAACCCACATTACAGTTACTCCGCCAGTAGGCTGGTGGGCCGTTATTGACTGCTGGCAGCGTTTCATTTGTAGGCACAATGTGCCCGCTCAGTCAATCACCGAGCGAATGTGCGTCACTGATGCGCGCATTTAAATTATTCGAATTATGCGGAAAGCAGTCGCGCGTCAAGCCGTGGCACAGCACAGCCACCTGCAGTAAGCTCACACATATGCGCGTACTCCTATGTGTGTATGCGATGGCAGCGTTTTCCCGCTCTCGCAGGAAGTACATCAAGCGAACCCGTGCGCCAGCAGTTGTGCGTACTTCCTGGCGTGAAGAGTGAAGGACTTGTGGTAGCTCAAAGCATTTTCGCTTTTATTAAATATTTTCCCTTTTTTGCTCTTCAACACTTCCACTTTCATTCACTACCCTGCCTCTGTGCTTACTGCTCTCATCTAGTTTTGCATTGATTGTTCAATGCGCTGCGTAATTTATGGATCATTGGCAATTTGTCGGCAGCGAGATTGATTTTTCCATATTTCTATCGCTCCTTCCAGTTTTATTCATTTTGTTTTGTTGGTTAAAATGCTGATGGATATATGAGAGAGAGTATATAATACGGTAGTCTATAGTATCATTTAGTGAAACGAAGTTAATTCCAGGTTCGGCAGAGCTTAGGGAATTCCTTCGGCTAATCTGTTGGTGCCTAGGTATTTTATTTGTTTTGATTTTTTTTTTTTTAAGTACGGTCGTTAGTTAATAAAGCAAAGCGATCCAACTTGGGTTTGTATTTGGAGGCTTTTGTTTAGAAATACTTCAGAAATATACCGAATTACAATCGCTTGTCTATATTTTGGCTTTTTTAGCTTAGAACTTACTGCTACACCTCCTTCGTCTTTTGAAAACCTTCTTGTCGGTACAACTTTGAGACACTTTTTAACTCATAACAGACCGTATCGGAAAAAATGCTAGACTTTCAGAAAAGAAGAATAGAACTCTGGTTTCTAAACCAAGATACACAGGATAGGTTTAATTGCTGATTCCGGCAATGTAGGTCACGAAAATTCCTCCTGGACGACTGAAGCATACCCAAAAACAAACTATTTGGAACACAAAACCTTTCGCTGTTGAAAAAGTTCCAAAGAGAAATTAACTAAGGCGACAGGTGACTATTATTAATTCCAATTGTTCCATCGGTATTATGAAGGTATGTTATCTGAAATGTTTCAACCACAACCTTATCTGTCGAACATATAATATTTACCATTTCGAGATTAGCTCTTTCAAAATTTCGTCGCGGCTTCATATCAAATGGTTCTTCTGTTCAGTGAGTGCAATTTTCGATGACTCGTTCGAGCATTTCGATTAGTAACTAGCGAATGACGCTATTGATTGATCCATAGTCATTTGCACATCCCTACAGGAGGCTTCGCTACTTCAAATTACATACATGATATTCATATGTTCAACATTTTCAGGTTCTGTACTCAGATATAAATCAGTTTTAACCAATATTAAAATTTTGTTTCACTCATCCTCCATTTTATTTCGTGTTTCATTCATGCCATTGTAAATTTCTGAAAATGTTGTTACGTTATTTTGCATTTCAAGCGACGATATACACTAGACATAGTTGCTTAGCGAGTATTTCCTTTTCTGATGTAGATAATATGTCCTTATAATGCCAATGTGCCACTTTTTGAAAGATACCCTAACTCTTTCCAATTGTCTTCCCATTTTCATTTAGTTCCCAAAGTTTTCTCTTACCATAAGAGACTGTGTATAGGAATCAACCGGAACCCACTTTCTTGAATTTCTTTATTGGGCCTTTATCTACCAAATGGTATCCATGGTAAGGGAGAGAAAGGATACGACTATAGAAAAATCTTCTAAGAGTTGACTCGACTACAAATGCATCGATTGCTCTAAAAACCGTATCCGGTTGCAAATGGTTGAAGAGCGATCGATATCGTACAGCATCTTGCGGTGTTGCCTCCAGGCTTTTTACAAAAACTTGCAGAGCACTACCAATCGAACTGCCTTTACAAGAGACCAGGGAGGCTTCTGAATATAAAATACTTGGCGATGACATGACATCTCTTCAGTCTTCGTAATAAGTTTTCAGCCACAGGGATACGTGAAAATCGAACACAGTTGGCAACTTCAAATATCTGCACGACACTCTCAAATTCGAACACAAATCTGAGTACCTACGTTCGACTGCCGTGAGGTTTTGTTCGAACTTAAGCGTTACTCGATGGTTAAACCAAGCGGTTATCCCATATTTAAAACATTCTTCTCATTACATTTCGTTAAGATTATTTGAGATACTCATATTCACAGAAATTTAACTGAGTATGAATAAAAAGAACTGAAACGATAAAACATTAGTGATAAGTTTAAGTTATAAGCCAAATAAGACCATACTTCAACTCAAATTAGTGGTCTACTTTCGTTGAAGTTTGCGTCACTACTTGGAATACTCCAGGAAACACCTGTAGATGTTAATCGCACACAGATTTTAGTCCTTCCACTTCATGAGCGCCTACCGTAATATATTCATATGGCATACCTACTCTAAAAGTACCGCTGTAATACCCGATGGACGCACACGTATGGCAGTGCACAATATTTATATTACCGCCATGTTTTCTGTTCATTTGTATTCGGTTGGCCTGCCAGAGTGAGTGTGAATTTTCCGCTCTACTTAACAGACATTCGTTAACTATTTGTACCGAGCGTTAAAATGCATGACTACACTCACACAAATATACAGAGGAGGTTCGCATACACAGAAAATACATTAACACTTGCCGATCAGCCGCCATCAATCCCGGCAGCTGGGTACACAGCACACTCGCACCAACTCACAACTTCGCTATTCGTTGCGCTCATTTATATTTTCTATGTATTTGTGTACTTTGCAGGCACGCTATACAAAATCGGCGATGTACTGCCACAGGACACCGGAAATTGCCTGCAATGTGTGTGCATAGATGGCTCGACGAGCGATGACACGCCGCGCGTCACCTGTAGTCCGCACAACTGTCCGCCCCTGGTGCTGCCCGATTTGTTCGATGCCACAGGATATTAAACGGCGCTACAACAACACACATGGGCCAACGGGCCAACTCACACCGCGGTCGACAGCGTATCCAGCACCATGCACCCACACACACACTTACACCTATAAGGCAACATATAATAAAAAAGATGAAAACGTTAAAACTAAAGCATCACTCCTGATGGCAGCAGTAATAAGAATAATAATGGTGCATTGCGCTCGCAGTTCATCAACTAGAGCCACCGATGTCGCTGAAAGTTAAAAGGTAAATTGCTTATAATATCAGACCACGTGATTTATTGACATTCCACCCACGTGGAACGTTGTGGGGTAAGGTATTAGCTCAAAACAACCAGAGAGACTGTCTGCAACTCGCTTTAGTACGAGTATAATATATATACTATAGGCGCCATTTTGCATTCTTCATCAACAGACGCTTAAAATATTAAACATTATACACGATAAATTTATATATTTAAATACTTGTATATATGTATACATATCTAAACAGTCGTGGTTAAAAACTATGCACTCTGATCGAAAATGAGATATACAAGATAAGAGCAAGAAAGAAGACTGGTGACAGAAGGAGAGGTTAAGTCAGTTGTGGTTTCAAAAAGTCTTAAGTAAGGATCGAAAAGAAAGTCTCGTTTCAACAAAGAGCTGGACTCGGTCACAAATTTGTACAGGTGGCTAATATAAATGTGACTTCCATCGATTCGCCTGAAGAAGGCATAAGTGCCGAGCTGTTTCAACTTGGGAGCAAAGTCTAAAGAGTATAAAGATGCAAAATGCAGTATAGCATCACGTTGCGGTAGTCTTGGATTAACTCATAAACAGTGTCTCAGAGCCATCACCCAAAAGCCTTGTTCCTTCAGGTTTTTACAATAGATAATTCATCAACATTCACAAAACAATAGGGTGAAGACCAAACTTTAAGAAATACACCTAACAGTTCTGCAGAAAACGATACTATAGAAAAGATGCTTAAAATTAGAAGAGACTTTAAGGTTTCATAAGCTGAAAGGTCAGAGATTCTTCAAAAATATGCTAAGGCGACAACCGACAAGCTTCAAGAATATGGCTGCATATAATACAGTTCAAGCAGATGAGGTAAAACTTATTATTTACCAACTGCTTGCTGAAGTTTCTCAGCTTTAAGGTCATCAGGTACCGAGGACTTCAATATTTGGAATGAATTCATGGCCCATACAGGGCCGTAACCCCCACAATGACTTTTCTTGAGTTCCAAAACGTGTTTTTAAAGTTCTTAAAGGCGAAGAGAAAAATTTGAAATTTCAATTTTGAGATGAAGAGTGCAATCACAAAATTCAATTTGCAATCTGTTACGAATCAATTGTTTTTAGTTCCAATGAATATCACAATATTGGCTTTTTTTGATTGGCCTCTGCCACAGTCTAAGTATCTCAGCAGGCCTGGAAATGGCACCACCTTTTTGTCATGCGGCATATAGGCCGCGACCAGCCGGCGTTTTCCGAGAATTTTATTCTTTAGTAATAAGGAACACTCTCTATCAAGTTATTAGAACAGAGTGGACGCAACTGTAATATTTTCTATTCTCTCTACTAGGAGGCTATCTTTTGGAAGAAATTCTTGAAAAATTGCTCTCCAATAAGTCGACTTTTTATCATAACTTAAGCCAATAACAAATATTATTCTATTACATTAGATACTCCAGCGACGCATCGTACGCAAACTTAAAATTTACCTTCTTCGAATTTTCGAAAAACATTCATGGATAATTCTATAGAATCAGCATAGAATATAAACGCCAGTCATTTCAAACATCTTTATGTCCAAAAAAATTGTCGAAGCTTCTTCTCATAGAACACACCCATCATCGAATACACAATCACTTTCAGAATGTGAAGCTAGCATGCCATTATTTTCAACACAACTGTAAGCGAGTGTATCAGCTGTCGCTTGGGATGCGTATCCGTTATGCAACTGCATCCATACAACAAGCGCGCGGAGCTTTACTGCACACTGCTAATTCCTTTCTATATGCAGCAGCACACATTTTTATGCAATATTTATTTATAACGGTTCTCCTAGTTTTTGTTTTTATTTCCTTTTTCCGCTTTCTAGTTGCATTTGGCGGGATGCTGTGTGATTTTATGCTTTCACGCTTTGTTGATTTCGAAAATTACCGACTCGACGTTAACTAACTGCACCGTGACCGCCCGCCAACCACACCACCATATATGCGTAGCTCATGCGAAGGATTCTGTGCATTTAATATTCTTATGTGATTTCATATCGCATTTGATAACCATAAATTGTGTGCACGACATAATTAAGGCCAGAGGTTAAGCCACAAAATAGATGAGTTTGTAAATCATATAGAGTTGTGTGCTCTCTGGCGAAAAACAGTTGAATATTTTAGCAAAACATATTATATATTGTTCAGTGCGAGTAAAAATAATCAAAAAGTGACAAAGATCAATGATGTCGGATATCAAAATATAGTTCTTTAACCTCTGAGAAATACAGCAATTTAATTTATCCGATGAAGTCACTCTATATATAAGCCTCAGCTTAAAGAACGATATGAAAAATCACAAAATGAAAATAAATTATCCAGTGGTTTCTTCTCTTCGCTGTTTGGCGAAAATTCGAGATGCCAGGTGCAGCTAGACCCTCCTCCATCTGATATCTCCAACGGAGAGAGAGTGTTCGCCTCCCTCTACTTCCACCGGCAGATACTGAATCGAAAAAGTCCTCAGAGGTGATCGAGTAAACGATGTTCACAGCATACTAACTGTCAACAAACTAATTGGATCTTATCAGTATGGCTTTAGACCTGACAAATCAACAACCGACGAGATATTCATCATGCAACAAACCTGGGAAAAGACCTGTGAAAAAAAATCGGCACTCACCACTTCTTCGTCGATTTCAAAGCAGCTTTTGAAAGCAGATATAGCTTTATGCCGCGATATCGAGCAATACCAAAAGTTCCGTCAGTATTGGGAAGGACTTCTCCGAGCCGTTTGTTACCAAACGAGGTTTCAGACAAAGCGACTCCCTATCGTGTGACTTCTTCAACCTGCTGCTGGTCGAGCAGTTACAATCTTTTAAAAGAGTGTACAGCTGCTGGCGTATGCCGTTAATATTGATATCATCGGGCTCAACACGCGCCGTTAGTTCTGCTTTCTTCAGACTAGATCAAGAAGCGAAGGAAATGGATCTGGTGGTGAACGAGGGCAAGACGAAATATCTCATATCATCAAACAAACAGTCGTCGCACTCGAGACCATGCTCCCACGTCACTGTTGACAGTCATAACTTTGAAGTTGTATATAATTTGGTCAATTTTGGGACCAGCATTAACAGCAACAACAATGACATCAACCAACATCAACATCAACCAACTGGGGAGCGTCACCTTCCCAATGAAGGGACCGGATATTCCAAGTATATGGCCTCAAATCGTAATCCGCAATTCGTTGGCCATGGTCGTCATCAAACGGGGGGTCTCTCATCCGCGGCTGATTGCTATTTTTCATTGGGTGCCACTGGCCACTCCCAAGTGAATGGAAATCAAAGAACTTTACATGCGTGAACTTCAACACATGACTCCATCCTCCATCGCCATCGACATTGTTCAGCGAATTAAGAGACAGCGGCTACGCTGGCTAAATCATATCGTGCGTAGGTATGAAAACACTTCAGCTCTGAAAGTATTCGATGCAATACCCACCGGAGGAAGCAGAGGAAGACATCCACTCCGTTGGAAGGCTACGCTTGGAGTCCCCAATTGGCGCCACGTCGCAAAAAGAAAACATCACTATCGCGTTGTTGTTAACTCGGCTATAATCACCTAAGCGGTGTCTAGGCCAGTAAAGAAGAAGAAGAAGATTTGATAAATTACATTGTTATTATCTCACATTATTTTGATAATGTTTCATGTACCGTTAGGATGAAGTTTTTGTGCCGGAATCAGTTTAGACTCCGACTCTTTTCAGATTAGATACTGCATACTTGAAAAACACTATTTGAGTAAAGTATTATTCCTATTTTCTGCAACAAAAAATCAGACGAGTTGGCAAAGGCAGAAGATTTCCTTAAAGAATCCAGGGCAGAGATTATACCAAGACCGCTAGGATCGATCAAAAGAGAGATCAATAGACAATTTCCACAAGTTGCAAATAACAGATGGAAAAACATAACAAAATTCACTATAACTAAGCAATTATGGCCAACATATGAAGAGAAAAAACTAACGACTAGGTCTAGGAAAAGTATTTACTGAGTAACAGCTACCATAACAGGGCACTAACCATTTCGAGAACATGCGTCTAAAATGGGTATGCCCTACAACAACATCTGCCGAGGCTGCGAAATAGCTGGGAACCAGGAAATCATTTTACACTTTCTCTGTGAATGCCCAGCTCATGCACAGATCCGACACAAAACACGTGGAATTCAATATCGGACAAAAGTTGCTTCATCGAGACCTCATACTTTTTGACAGAGAATGTGAAACGTGATAGAAAATATAAAAGGTCTACGAATAGTGCATCAAAATGCCACAGCCAGTGCTAATTGAGGCCGAAAGACAACAGTCTGCACTCCTACCCACCTACTATAATTCAGTCAGAAAATAATATACAAATACCACATAGTGTGCAAGCCGGGAGAATAAAATATGGCTTAGACTATTTAGAAAAGTAACTGGTACGCGCCAAAGACCAAGCAAGAGCCAGAAGATTGAAGTTCTCTCGGTGAACTTGCTCCGAAGAAAGCCTGGACTGTCATATCAGTCGAAAATGACACCTTCTGGAGAAGGAAGGTGTTTGCGTATATACAGACAAACGGACGGACAGACAAATTAACTCAGCTCGTCACTCTGATCATCAACATATATTTGTTATAGGTCTTCCTTCTAAGTGCTACAAACTTCGTGGCAATGTTAGCATATCCTACTCAGAATTTAAAATTAATTCCATTTGACAAAAATAAAAGTGTGCTTCCACCATGACAGTGCACCGGCTAAGAGTTTAAATCAACCTTGTAAGTTTTTCCTTGCGTGGGGCTAAAATTTAAAAAGTTACTTTAAAACTGGGTTCAAAAATGCACCTTAATTATTATGCGGATTTTAATGAAAACATATTTAACAAACAAATAATATAATTTCACATCAAATCTTTATTTAAACTCCAAAAAAAAAAGACCTTGTGGTTATGAAAGCCTGATTGAGTTCTTGATACTTGATTTTATGAAAGTTTCCTGTAAATTTCCAACGGTATTTGCAGACAGTTTTATTTTTTCTTATGATAATATGCTTTGTGCCGCCAATTCTCAATTTCCAATTGTATTTATTTCTTTTTTTTCAGCCAATGGATCGCCAACATTCGGTCGATGTAAAATGCAACGCCTAGGCATATCCTCCAACAAATCACACTTCCAAAGAAACTACAACGTCAAACGTACACAGATATCTACATAGACCGTTACACGCACATATTCATAAGCTTAGTCAAATATAAACTGCATAGACCATAGTCCTTCCATATACATATACACATGTAAGCCTGCACACCAACACATTTAGAAAAGATCTGAAAATATGAAATAAATGAAACACACATATTTAGTGCTAAGTCGAAAGCTAGAAACTCACAATTAGAAAAAGCCAATAAAAATATTTCAAAAACTGTATGATAACATTAAAATCCAATATTTATTTTTCGAGTTTTGAGTTTCGAGCTTGCATAAAATATCATTTGGCGCCACTTAATGGCAGAACGGCAAAACGCAAAGCATAATGAGGCTACCGACTGCAGAAATCTTTGCAGTTAAGTGTTAGTATATCAACTGAGATGCATGTATAGGATAAATGTATACATATTTAGCGGTATTTATATGACATATAAAGCAAAATATACTGTTTATTTATATTTGAAGCAGTATTGTATCAATAATTAATTTCTGCTAAGATGATAATGAAATACTGGCAACTAGAGAACTATATGAAAATTACAACAAAAACTCATATGAGACATGTATTTGCATATATTTAACTATATATATATTTATATATATATATATATATATATATAAATAACGATTGAAACTGAGTACAGACAAATAATTTTCTTTCATGATATGCACCGTTAAATAAACTAAGCTTATAACCGGAATTCATAGCAAACAACAAACACATAGCATTGGCATATAAACAAATTGCCGAACACTCGATTCATAGCTTTATTTGAAATGTTTCAATTATGCAGCGAAAATGCAGCCAATTCGATATGTACCAAATGCTGAAATTGCGCATTCATAGCGGGCAATACAAACAGACGAAAGTGCATGTGAAATAATCTATTAAAAAATATGCATAAATGCGGTTTTCCATTTGCACACTGGCCTTTCCACAAACATTAGTGTGAGTGTGTGTGTGAACATATTTGCATATTAAACGCATATCATTCCTTAAAACGCAAAACAACGTATCATAAAACATTGGAATTTGTCTTTTTTATTGCCTACGATTCACTACATCACATTACACATAAGTATTATACACGTTTAAACTTCCGTTGTCCAATATATCCACAATATAACCGGTAAATAACCATTTTATAACCAAAAGACACATTTCGTTTTAATAAGCGTGATTTCTATTATGTTATGACTTATGAAAAGTGATGTTACGTTATTTTACATTTTAGGGTACGATATGCACGTACATATGTGCGCTGCAAAGTGTGCGCTCGCTTGTGGCAGTGCAAAAAAGTTGCGTATACGCCACGGCGCAAATGCGGCGGCTCTCGGTTAATCACTTCAACAACTTAATTAAAAGTAATCAAAAGTATATAAACTATTTTCCAACAATAACAACAAAAATTAATTTAATTGCCTCGCATTTTAGCGCACGGATTTATTGTCTTTAAATTATGAAATCTGTGTTTGTTTTTTTTGTTTTTTTGTTCAACGCAAATAATCATTTTGTTTGCATTAGTTGCTTAATGCACAAAGCTTTTCCAACCAAAGCTGATTTGTATGTGACGCCGATAAGCATGCTAATCGCGGATTATCCCTAACAACCGTTGGATATGCCAACAATAACTATTTTAACTTTAGTTTCATCAATTTCGAATTTTCGAAATTTGTTTGTTGCTTTACCATTTTTATTATTTGTTTAATTTGAAAAGATTATAATTTGCAGAATTATTTAATAGCAAGCCCGTGCGGCATATATCACTTTCATATTTGCATTTGGTAAGCTTCAATTGGTTTTTGGTAATGCAAGCCTCGAAATTTTATTTATTTTAGGCGTTAAATTAATTATATTTGTCTCCATATGATTTTGATTTCATGTTATTGGCATGCTTTTCGCAAATTATGAATATTTCTGCCAAAATTATTAAATATTTATTTATTAAATATTTGCTTTTAATAACTGGTTCTCAGTTTTTGGTGCGGCGTTGCCTCATTTCCAGCTTTATTAATCATTTATAGCGCTGTTCGCGACATATTCGATACGCGGAAATTATGCTTGTTGGGTCGGCAAGCTAATTAAATGTGTTAGCACTTAATGCACCACACTTTTCAATTTAAACTGGGAATTTTAGAGTTTTTTCAAATAATGTGAACAACTTATTATTTTTAAATATTTTTAATGCGTACTTAATCGAAAGCATATTACTACCATATCTCCTACTATTTTAAAATGTGAATAGTAATAAGCATTGATATGTCTCTTTTAAATATACGCAAGAATTTTACTTCTTTAACTAAATATTTTAAGACTAAGTATCCTTAACCAGCCTCTCCAATGGAAAATAGTCAGAAAATACAGCTGGAGTATTGATTTTTAAAGCACCATACGTTGATATCTTCGCAAAGTTATTATTAGTCCATTTAGGTTACGTTGGAGAGAGTTCAGACTCTGTGGCCTCACTATCGATACCTCTTCTAGTCTTTCAGAGTAGCCTTGTCAATGTAATAGTACAAGTCCACAATAGATATTTCATTGTTTCCCTGGTGCCTTGCTCTAGATATTTTCTGCAGTATTTCTGCCAGCCCTATTCTGCAGATCTACCAGTTTACACATGACTTTTTGCACAAAGCACTTTCAGACATTCTATCCTATTGGATACTTAGTAACTTTCAAAACTGTTTAGGATGCATTCATTTTTATGTTGCTTTCGTATTTGAACCCTGCTAATTTTGTTGTTATTTTCCACAGTGACGGTAAAATCCCGGAAAAAGTTTTTAGATCGAAGCACTCTGGCATGTAGCTGTGATACAAGCTAAGCGTTCTAAATCAAATCCAATCGTTTATATTTTTGTGAAGGGTATTATAGCATCAGTACAACAGAGGCTGACATATTTTTTTATCTTTGATTGAATTATAAATATCAGTGTTATTTTTAACGACGTAAAAGTGTTTTTAATAATTTTTCTTGAAATAATCCTAGAAGATAATAAGATAATAATTAAATAGTATATTGGGTTTTTTGGTGCTTTCTCAGATATTTTCTCTTCTATTTTAAGTTGATATCTTCGATATGACTTCACAAAAAATAATAAGCTGTAATTGCGGTGTTTGGTAGATATTGGGTAATTACCTTACCAGTCAAATGAAGATTGCATCTGCAGAAATACTCCCTACGCCGCACTCGGACCGTCTCACAACTGTTTCTTGCGGGCGCGCTGAAATTGCTTTTTGCTTCTCTGATGGAAAATAAATATATGGCGAAACTAATGTTAGTAGTCAACCTTCCGCTCAAAAAGCACATTTTTGATATCGAAATAGAATGACCTTCACTATTCTCAGAAAAATGTTTCTTTGAATTCGTGAATAACATTGAAGAAACTTACTTTTCTGCTAAACGGGCTTACGTTAGGTTAGACTAGATTGTAGGGTTGTTCCTAATCGATTGATCTTACTTGGATAGTTTTTCGTCTTTTGTGTTACCCATAAGCTTCTAAAAATGGATCACCAACCCCCATAGATCGGCGAAGCGTTTTAAACATATCACAAATTTGTTAAGGTGGTTAGTATCAATCCCAGCCACTTTGTTAGATTCGCCGAGATATTTCAGTCTCAGTCTTCCAAAAGCCGGACAATAAAGGAGAAAGTCTTACTCAGAGCTTTGGCAAAGAGCGTGCAACGAAATATCTTGAAAAGATATAGATGTGTTCTTTAAGTTAAAAGCAAGCATTTCGGAGAACCTCTTACGGTTCACTTTGGGGCAGAAGCTTATCAAAGTAGTTATGGTACAATGCTAGAACTCAAGACGACATCGAGAGATCGACTCGCTTCCAATTAGATGAAAGTGGAGAAATGGTGAATCCTTAGTGAGCTCATTGTGCAGCCAAGCAAGTCTTATACGGAGGAGGCTTGATTATGTTAGTAAGGAGGTCAAACGCACAGTTATCGAGCTCAAAGCCAGTATAGCCGCTCGTCTAACGGAGTGAATGCCTAAATGTCTGGCATTTCGCCACTTCGAAACTGTATATATACTGCTTCCATGATGGCAGCCACATCCGCTTAAAAACGTTACTAAAACTAGAGTTGATGGAGAGCTCACGTCAGAAAATTCCACCTCTTACCATTCCTTTTAAACTCGACCCATACATGGAACAACTAACTGCGCATGTTTCCACATGGTTCTTCCCTCGACCTGTGAGCAGAGAAAGAACCGCCAGAACAAGATTCTGAGATGCAGTGTTCTAGATTATAAGAAATGCAATCAAAGTAGCCCCTTGTATACCCAACTTCCCTAAATCTGCAGACTTCGGCGCAAAGCACATACCAGCTATTCCTACTTCACGTCTTTCGAATTGCTCCTCTACAGCAAAATAAGCCACATGCTTCACCCTGTACTCTGGTTGAAGAAAGAGTCTCTCAACAGGGAGAGAGCAATATCAGAAATTTTATATCTCCTAGCTAATGAAAATAGCTCCTTACACGGAATTCTCTACTGCACCAAATTTCCAATTTGGACCTATCATCATTCCACTCCCAAATACATACCAATAAACCTTCAGTAGTTTTTGTTCTAGTCGGAGATGCTAAAAAGTTATTTTCCCAAGTATTGTAATATCTTTCTACGTAAATCGTTCCAAGTCTCCAAAGCTTCAGGAGCCACCCAATACGTATAGAGAATCATTTATTACAACATATAAATCCAGGTGCGACCCAACCTCTTTACGGCCAGTCGCTATCCACTTTACCCTCCAGTAGACTTTCAAACTTTCTTTTGCAACTTTTTTTTCTTCGGCTCAGATCTGCAAACGGATTTGTTACTGCAGTTTTCCTAAATCACCACATCATGAATATTTTAAGCATGACGTGAGACTTTGAAGAATCATGCAGTATCGCATATCTTTTCGTTAGAATTCAGAAATTCACTTTTGTAGAAAAATCTACCCTGAGCATAGGCCAAAAATGCAGGATTTGTCTGACCAGCGCAATTGTTAGGGGAATAAGCTGCCTTTACGTTACACACACCCACCCACATCCAATTCTCAGAACTTTTTTAAAGCGTCATCTCTTCGACCAGTGAACGCTGTGAAAAAATATGTTAATAAAAATTAAATAAATAAACAATTTGCGCTGGCAATAAATGCGCAACGAACAGTTATTTGACTAGCGGTAAAAACTGCAATAAAAACATTTGAAACGAAGACCACATTTGATGGCTGAAAAAATTGCAACCAAAACGATTAAAGCTCGCGCAAAAATCGAAAGCGTAAAAAAGCACAAACATTTAATTACGAATTTTTCATTCATTTACAACAACAAAAACAAGAAATTTAATTATTTTTAATGAACTGCTGTAATAACTGTAATAATCAGTGACACGCCAGGCATTTTAAGTACTTTTCAAAAAATGCTAGAGAAACAGAGAGAAAGGGGGAGGCAATTAAAAAATGAAAAAATTGCGAGCACAAAAGCAGCAAAATCAATAAACAAACAAAAAACGTATAATGGAAAAAAATGAGGATAAATATTAAAAAATAATAAAAAA